ACAATTGGGAACTCAGGGAAAATGTACAGTTTTTAAAACAGAGAACCTTTTTATGCAGAGGGCCGTGGGAGTCTGGATCAAGCTGACCACCTCTCACTATATAAACTTGCTTAGTTCAACACCCCAGTTTTTAAACGAACCTACACCAGGGTCATGGTAACAGCTCAAAATAAAGTTCTTAACAATCAAATCGCTCATTCTGCAATGTGGCATTGTTAACAATAGTATTAATATTTTGAATATAAATTAAAAAATGTATATTTTATATAAATATATACATAAAATGTAGCTACTAATATTTGAAGCTGTAGCATTAAAAGGGGCATAATTATGACCAATAAACTTCTTATCTCTTGCCTTATATTTAGACATTACATCAACATCTTTCAATTATCAAGCTTATTGATCCAATTTAATGATTCCCACATAAGGTGGAACAAAAATCAAAAAACATTTTGGCTTTCCTTAGGTTTGGCAAATTCAACCTATCCTCGGAACCCCATTATAGATTTCAGACCCAAAATGATTAATTTCAAACTAGACTACAGCAGTTTAGAGACAGACACGTATGCAATTTTCATTTTAAAAATATAAAAATCAAGTGTTTAATTTGTTATATACCATGCAAAATGTGTATTAAAATTGTATACATTATCATTTATTTTATTATACTGACACGAATGTCTTCCCTTTGAGCTTCAACATAATGATCACCTCCTTAAGTCGTTGCGGACAGGTATGGGAAAGATTTTCCCCCGAAATAAAATAAACAATGCAATTTATCACAATATTACTTTTACTACTAAAAATGACATATCGCACGAAACAGAATTAAGACGCCCACGCAAGTTTCGTTTACTAGGGGTTTCATGGAATCTGATCGCTTGGTTACATATTTTAGCTAACATCGTCTTGCGCGTGTCAGCATAAAGTCGATATTGTTCATATCAATTTATTGATACGTTTCAATAAATTGATACAATATGTTACCGAGCAAAGAAGCTTACAAAGCTATTTCAGACTTTTCTCGGTAAACTGCATCCCACAGTTTCTGGCAGTGACGTAATCTTGACGCATCACATATAGAAACGGGAAGTCCCTCCTTCAAATACGGACCCTATGCTTTTGGGTCTTAATGTCCGCAGAATTGATCAAGTAAACCGCATTGCACGACCTGGCTCTTCTGCGTCGTGGTTCTCATATTTATTATCTAGCGCACACTTTTTACAACATATTTAAACATTATAGAGGCGACTGAAAACGAGTTAAGTTTGAGATAGCTATGGATGATTTTAATATATGAATGAAACGGTTAATAATCAAATTACAAGCAGAACCCTCATTGCACGGCAGCTGTGTTCTGATAACATCGAGAGTGTTGAAAAATGGTGTGACATGCCGATATTTTTTTTCTTTTAGTGTAATAACCACAATGCTCTTGAAATGGCGGTGCATGGGGCCGAGGTGCTTCATTTGATTTAATATTGGTCTCAAAACTAAATCTGAATGCTTCCTATTTTGGACTACGAAAAGAGTAGTGATGAAAAATGAGAATTTTGCATTATATATTTTCACTGACTTACGTATTTTAAAATAGATCACTTCTATCTTGCAAATCACAGAAATGTTGCATTTTCTTATTCTATTTCCCGGTTTGTTTAAAATACATGATATGGATTGTGGCAAATTAGAAAATAAAAAAAATATTCCAAAATGTAATCCACTTCTGCACTTCAATCATTATCTTGTCTCATAAAATATTCCAGTTAATGTTGTTTCTCCTGTAACTCTCGTTTCCTAATCAAGGGTTAATTACATTTCAGTTAACTTTTGCTGTACAGGGTCAATATGGTTTGTTTAATTGGTAACCCAATTTATAAATAGTTCAAAATAGAAATATTTCTAAATACCTTCAAAGTTGAGGATCATATGACCAATCTCTGATATTGAGGCAGTGTGGAAAAATCTTGAAATAATGCACTTTGAATTACTATTATGACCCCATTGAATCCAGGTAAACATACATTAAAGACCATTTGTAAACTCTATATACTGTACCAAGTAAACTTCAAAGTCCATATCACAATTATAATGTTTTCTTTGCACACTCACAGTGGTTTGAAATGAATGGACTGATCTGATTGCGATTCTTAAGATACAGGGTGCTTGCGCAATATTCAATTAAATTCAGTTCAAGGTGCTTTATTAGCATGACTGATGGGTACAATCAGTGTTGCCAAAGCAAATAAAAATAATAAAATTAACAGGAATCAAAACAAAAAATAAAAGTAAAATATTCTCTGACTTTACTCTTCAGCTGATCCCAGGTGACCTTTCTATTTAGGTCCTTTGTATGGAAATACTGCTCTTTGAATCATGGTGACTCAAGGTACTGTCTGCCTGTATCACTTCCATGCTATAAAGAACTGTCTAAAGTTGTATTTACTGACTCATGCATTCAGTAAATACAACTTTACTGAATTCAGGTGTTTGTACATGCATTCGTACAATGTTCTATTACTCTCTGATCAAGTAAAAGAACAAATTGGGTGGCCAGTGCTTGGATTAGGAATTTGCGGTAAATATGTAAGCATTTTTGTTTCTGGGAATACACGTCAGAACAACGTTACGTTGTTGAGAGCTTTATTATGCCCTTTTTTTCTGTGTGTTTCTGGTAAAAAAATCTACTGCTTTACTGTAACAGCCAGTTGTAATTGATTTTGTAAACCATTTATTGTAAATTAAATATTAAAAGCACTTTACTGATGCAGAAAGGAGAATGACATCAAGAACATCAGGGGTCTAAAACTGTGGCGTTAACATAGATCTTGAGTGCTGACTATAAATCATTTGGAGAGATGCATTTGTCTTTGACACTAGTCTCTCTTGGATATGCATCTTAACTAAACTGTTAATCCCTTCTAAATTCCAAGTTTATACTGTATGTAAGCAGATTCCGTTGCTCCTGTATCATGTATCTATTGCAGATTGAAGAGTTGATGTATCATTAAAATCAAATACTCCAGGTCTAAAAGATTTAAACCTTATGCAATGATTAATGAAATGCAAGAGGAACAAAAGTCACTGATTTCTGGATCAGGAATTCATTTGCATAGATATGCCACATGACTATTATTTATTCTCGTAAAAGAAAAGTCACGGAAGACAAAAAGACATTGTAATAAAGACTGGGTTTTTGGGCCCCTTGACGATCCTTGTTAATCATCTCTGTGGGTCAAATATGAAACCCATTAAGTGCTGATTTTTGCATGATATTTGGTAATACCAACCACAAAACGAATGTTTGTTTTGTGAATTGTAGAATGCTTTTCTTAATTGTTTCAAATAGTATGTTTCAGATGTGTAAAGTAAATGATTTTGATGCCTTAGGTTGGTGTTCACTTGTATTTTTCTTGTGAAAACCAAACCTGCAAAAGCATTAAAAGTCAAGAGTGGTGAAGATGCAGTATTGACAACAGTCCAAAGAGCCACTTATTCTTGTAAGAGCTAGATTTATTCTAGGAAATACGAATCTGCACATCTACTGACAACCTAGGAAATGGATATATAGTGTAGGTGCTTGAGATATTTACATGCATTTATGAATCAATCAATTCATGATTATTTAATTCACAAATATGCTTTCATACAAACATTTTAATTAAATTATGAAAAAGTAATTAGGTACATATGACTTAATACTAAAATATATTTAAGAAGTAGTTTGTTGTAATTGATTCTGTTGAGAATTCTGTCTTCATGTAATTAGTATAAATCCATTAATTTGTGCTAGGAAGATGTAGAGTATTGTTCCTCAGAATAAATATTTTGCATTGTAATATTTTTACTTTTATTATACATTTGTGAAATATACCCTGATTAAAACAGAAATCTTAGATATGTATGTATATTCACTGAGACTTTATTATTGAATTTGTATTACTTCAAATTTGTTTTTGCATTGAAGCAATATCTCTATAGCTACTTTCAGATACTAAGTCAATATTAATGCTAAATAGGAATGCCTGAAACATTATTAAAAAAGGTCTACCTAAAAATGTCTTTTGCCAAAATCAATTTATATTGTATTCTCAAACTGTGTTGCTTATCTATTTGATAACATACCTTAAGTATGCTAGTGCATTAATATGTTCATAGTAAAAGTATTAATCATATTTTCTGCTGTTTAACTGATCAAGATAGAAATGGTAGCGCTATTCTTAATGTTTTCACAGAATCCATGAATTTTGAAAGCTTTACATCTATTGAAAACTTTACAGTGAATGCCTCCTGACTAATATAAGAAATACTGAAGTGATTTAATGTGAAAAGGTACTAATGTTATCTTTAAAAGAAATAAACCCATTTGTAGTTATTTTGCTCATTGCATGCAATATAAAATGTGCTTGTTCAAACTGACAGTATTGCAGTTTGTCACATTTATATTAAGCAGCATCAATAATGTTTTACCTTAAAAAAGTTTTTTTTTTCTGCCAGTCAAAACAACCAACCAGAAAGGTGTACATTTTAAAATATTGAGTTTAAAGTTTGGGACTGCAGATTTTCATGACATTAAACAGTTTGTAAATATAACTAATGTTAGTACTGAATATGAGAAACTCAAAATTACATAGTATATAAGTATTAATTGATTGGTGTGTGTCTATTTAAAAAGGTCCCATTTTAAAGATCTGGCTAATGAGGGGTTAAGTTCTTTGATCTTTGCATCTTTTGGTCTGGTAGTTTTAACCACACGCAGACAAAGGTAAAGTTAATTCCGTGTCAGGCTATAACAGCTAGAATATATATACTGTAGGTGCAAGTACATGTATTAAAATTGCTTCCTGCTAGGGCCTGGCTGGATAAGATCTGTTGACAAATACATTTCATATTCATTACTCTTTGACACCTTCAGGGTTAAACTGGTCGATATCCGAAGAGACTGAAAGACCAAAGAACCAATCAGCAACCTCTTACACGCAAGCCTGTACGCACTGTTTTCGGGAATCTGGAGCTCTTGACAGGAAGAGTTCGTGGAGTGGAAGACGTACAAGTTCCGATCGGCTGGATGTACGGAGAACCGAACTAAGAAGGTTCATTTTTGGGGATTTATTTGTAATCAAGTTCTGATAGAATCAAAACGACATCAAACAGCTTGTCGTATGAAAAAATAGGTTTCTGACGATCCTTTCCGAGAGGAGTTGTTAATGGCCAGACAGATACGGAAGTAGGTAAGTTGTCTCTTAATGTTCTTTTTTTACAACCTCATTGTTCGCAGATGTCATTAAACTTGAAAGTTTCGTAACAAATCCTTAACTTTGTCCTATACGTAACGTCCAGGGGCAACAATCGCTAGCCTATATTACCAAGCAGCAGGGCAGTTAAGGGAAATACCAGTAGTGGTGATTAATTGAGGGGAAAGCGTGCTGCACGACACACGAATACGACACACAAATGATAAAAGTGTAAAAACGTGTAGCAACTGGAATTCTTAAGTACAAGTCGTTGCTTATATAGCCGATAATCAATAAGCTTTCGAAATCTTTGTAATAAGTTCAGGAGCTTCTGTTTCTATGCGCTGAAGACTTCAGTGAAATGTCGCAATTAAAGTTGGGACAGTAAGAAGCGCTTCTGAGGAAGTTTACCAAAAACTTGTATTATTGTGTCAGTTCTTTTTATCCTTTTTATTGCGATCAATCGTCACAACAAAATGGGCCAATGGATAAAGGATTTATACGTATTCCAAATATGCTAATAAACATTTTAGGTAGTACATTGTATATTATAATTTAATTTAAAGAATAAAACATCCTGTTTTAGAGGTGGAGACTCAAATATATTTACGTTACGTGATTAAGAATAGCATAATTCATCGCAAACTTTTTTTTTACAGAAAAGTAACAGTGAGGTTTACGCTAGTTTTATTGGGGATGTCTTGTTACTCATAAATTATTGGTCAGGATTTTTTGTTGTCTTCTGTTCCAGGAATGTATTCTAAGATTAGCACACCCCTTTTTTCCCCTATCGCGCTTCGAGAGGGAATAAAGAATAAAAAAACGAGTCGTTATGTAAATAGTCAGGGAAAACCCTGAGAACAGGCCTCTGTTTCAGTGTGCCTTCCCTCGAGAACAGCTTTCAACAGAATATGTACTGTATGTAGTTTCTTCATAACCTGAACTTTGGGCTGCTTCGGTAAGCAATACAAATCATACAAAACGATACACGAAGCAAATTTCAAGTACTGAAAGTTTTTTTAACACTTCGTTTGATTTTTATTACTAAAGGGTTCAATGGGCTGTACTGAAAAAGTTCAGTGCAAGGATCTGAGAAAATGTCCCTTGGCATTGTGTTAAGATGTTTTTTACAATACATTTTATGTGCAATGCTCCCTTTTAGAGCAGTATTCTTTGCTTTAAACCTGGTATTTCTGAAGTAAAATCAGATAAAATAAAGTTTCAAGAAACGCACACGCACAGTACGCTCTTCTATTTTAAAATAATGCAATTGCTAAACCTATAGTTAGGCATGAAAAATAATGCAGATATTGCAAAAACGTTTACTGAATAAATTGATTCAACAAACGGAAATCTACAATGGGTTGTAACCCAGTGTTGCAACCCACTCTGGTCATTCGCGATTAACGCGGAAAGTATATTTTTACTTCTCTGACCTATTGTAATTTATGGGCTTTGAATTCTTGTCCGTTCTGCTTTGGCTGCCGAGACTTGGGATACATATAGTAAACGGCCCTTTTCAAGAAACAGTATCCAGCCCGTTTGATAAGCTGGCGCGGTTTGCTCTTCACTTGGGAAATGAATAATATGCGCTCTTTTTTAACGCAAAAGTTAAACAATATTAAAAAATACTGATATTTGTTCTTAGAGTCTCCTTTCGATAAACGAATTCGATGTTTCTTCTTAAAACATCTGTTGTACAGGGTATATACACGAAAATAACAACTGTCTATTAAAATAAGTGTAGTTTTCTGGTTTAAGTAGTGTATAATTCAGCATAGGTGTTAATTAAAGACTTTTAATAAAAGTAATCAAAATATCCCGACTAAGATGTAGGTTATTTCAGCAGCCTAGTGAAACAATAATTAAAGCCGTATCCCCTTTATTTGGCAATTTTATGCAAACAACAGGGTTGCAGAAAGTATTTATTTATCTCACATTCACGCAGTTGAGCATAACTAGAGATGGTCATGAGTATTACACAAAACTTCGGTAACCCGTGAACTCTTGGCTACAGGTGGTTATATGATGTGAAAAGTCGTTTCGTTATTGAGTAGGTTTAAATTGAGAATGTTTTAAATTGTTCACCTCTATGAGAATGCTAATAAAGATGACTTACAGAAACACTGATCTCGAAGGCTTTTTTACAGTAAGTGATCTCATAACTCAAAATAGCTGCACTTCTTGTTGCCTGCTGAATGACTACTAAAAATGTGCTTAGATAAGGAGATGATAGGTTATAAAATAGAGGGAGTCACTGTTAGGCCATGAAATAACTGTGTTCTGTAATTGCAACATTTAGATCTCTCTCCCCACGAATAGAAAACAAATAAAAATCATTACTTAAACCTCTTCACAACTTTTCTGCATTACTGTGTTAGTTTTTAAACCTGTTGACATTATGATGTTCAGGTTTTGATTAATATTCAAGAAGCGTCTCTAGCTGTACCCTAATTTGGGCATATGACGTCACCTCCGCTAAGGCTCATTCTTTTAACCAGGTTTTGCGTGTTACACGTTTTGCTTCGAGAACTGCACAAAGCAATACTTATATAAAGTTAGTTTTCGTTTCGAATCCGTGTCCCCGAGCACGTTACTGAATCTTGAACTTTATAACAAACATTTTGAAATTGGTTTGTACCGCACAATGTCTTTTCAATAGAAATGTATCGTTTTCATTTAATGGCTGTCTGTTTTATGAAGAGAGTCTGTCCGCCCCAAATAAATGGCAGTCTATATTGTTTTTTTGCGTTTATCTGCAAATAAGTACCTTAGGCTACAAGGTGTGCTTAATGTCTACTATAGGAAATGTATTTATATAATCTGTTTATATACAGTAATCCACTACGTGCATCTCCTAAACGCAGTTTTAAGTTGTTCGATAAAATGTCTGCTCTAGGAGATTCGAAAGGGAGTATCTATTTTCTTAGTACTGGATAAACATTCAATTGAGTTTTAAAAATTCACAAGTATTATCCCAAATGCGTTTGCAAAACAGAGGTTTGTGCGAATTTCATACAGTTCAGTGGAAAGCAGAAATGCAGCAGACTTGCATATGCCTGTTGGACTCGTATATATTATTATGTTTGTATCATCGTGTTACTATAAAATGAGTCGTCTTCTGCGGAGAGTAACCATATGCTCATTATAGTAGTCATCGTCGTCGATGAGGATGTTGTCTAACCAATTAAAAAGAACATGTATAACACCCCGTCTCGAACAGTAAACCCTATAGGCAGGACCCGGTGTTACATCTTCTCTAGTAAATAATAAGTGATGTACAGTACATTTTTTACCAGCTTTATTTAGCATAAGTCTAAATGGATTAATGAATGAAAATCTTTTAAAAAGTGTGAGAATTGTTCCATGTGTGTTTCTAAGCAGTGCAGTCCATACTGTTGTGAATAACCATGGTATAGATTTGTGTCTTTTTTCCAGTTGTTTAGTGTTTTACTGAATTGATACCAGGAATGTAGAAAAACCTGCAAATAAAATAAGGTTGTGAAGCAATATTATCAGTGCTTTTTGAAAAAAAAAGCTTTCTTATGCCCTTGATGCCCTTGATTGCAGATTAATTTGATTTAATTCTCTAAAAGTGTCAGACATTTGATTAGTGTAAGAAATGTCTCAATCCTCTGTGAGTTTCTTGAATTGAAGAGTTTTAAGAAAACAGTACAGGCCTTTCAGTCATCCTAAAATTTCAGTGTTGTGTCCTGATGTTTTTGTTTGGTTCTTGTATAGTCTTCAATCTGATGGATGTTTGAAAATTATTTGTCTAGTCCAAGTATAATGTCTTTAATAATTTAGGGAGGGCAGCCTAGTGACGCACTGGTTTGCAGCAGACTCTGGGTTCAGTTCCAGTGGTGCTGTCTGTGTGGAGTTTGTATGGCCTTCCGATGTTTGGGTGGGTTTCTTCCCTGTCCAGTTGTCATGGTTAAATGGCTTAAACAAAAATGGCCCTGGTGTGAGTGTGGGCATGTTGCGTCATTGCGTGACCTGCGATGGATAGGTGTTTGTTCTAGGGTGCTACCCTGCCTTGGGCTGAATGCTCCAGCTCCCCCATGATCCTGAACTGGATAAGTGGTTATTGAAAGTGATATTATTCAGGGTGTGGCTGAACTACAGTGACTGGGTTTGGTCACGTTTATCTTTGACAGAACAGAAGTAAATAATTGGTTTGTCCTTGAGTTCTTTAGAGACAAGAACATTTCTGTAATGTTTGTGTGCGTTTTTCACAATTGCTAAATGTGATTCTGGGATATTACATTCCAATTTCCATTTGCTCTTTTTAAAGAGCACCTTAATTCATTCTGATTTGCAGACAGTGAAAACTGGAAACGAACGAGTCTTTAAAAAGATTCCACCAATTCTGAAGTTCCTTATCTGTCCCTTAGATAAGATAGGTATGTCCCTTGTATCATACCTTATCCATGGAGAGGAAGGCCTCCTATGCACTGGCATTAGAGATCCTTTTTCAATGCATGTGTTTTAGTCATTATTTCCTATGCCAGTGGAGGAGTGTCTGTATGACTTTGAAATGATGAAGGCCATGGGTCAGGCAAATGAGAACTTAGAGGTAGGTATGACACTTTATATACTGTAGGTCTGTAAAGTATTCATATGCTTGAGCACATAGTGTAAACCAATATCAAGACAGATTATTATTTTGAAAATATCTGAGATATTCCTTGCCCTTTCTTACTGTCAGAACTTAATGTCGGTTAGTTGCATCATTTATTAGTCTTGAATGAGCGTCCACATTGTAATCAGTTGACATTAAATTTGCATTATTCCTGCCTCTGCCCATAAATACAGATATATTGGCTGGATTCCAGTGTTTTCAAGTATCATCATATCATAGGGAAATGTAGTAGACTCCCAAGAGACACCATCAAGATTTCTGTCATTGGGACTTTGCAGAAGATATTTTGAGTAAAGATATGTTTTGTTTTTGTAGCTCTAAGAGTGAAGTTTTGCTGAAGGTCCAGATCACTATT